AGAGAGGACGACAGAAAGAGGAAAGTCAAGCCGGGAAGTGAGTTAGTCAAGATAATGAGATATGGGTGTTAAAGCAACAAGATCTGCTATGGAGAACTGGTTTGAAATATCATTTAGAGAGCGGCGATTTGAAGTTGAAAAGGGTGGAATTTTTTGGTTGGATCGAACTTGTTGTCAATGTTTATTTACCAACCACCCAAGCTTTTCTGCAAGATTGGGAGGATGATGCCATTGTTGTTATTCTTGCCACTCTCGCTCATGCATATGAAATCAAATGTTCACCATGGTGGCTGGTGATTTCTAGGTGGAATTTAGTGTGTACTTGCTGGAGATTGAAAAGGAAGACAAAGAAGTAAAGCGTAGAATATAATAAATTATAGGATGATCAAAGTAACATATTAAAATTATAGAAAAATATTTAGTAAAACATTAATTTTATGTTTACTCTAGAGGAAAGTAGTTTAAAAAGAAAATTTAATCATAAAAACAAACACCTTTACATGATCAAGAGTAATAGTGCAAGGATCTAATTGCAAAAAATTATTACTATAAGGGACGACTATAAATTTTATAAAATACAAGGATAAAAAGTTTACAAACAAAAATAAAACATAGGTACTTTATTTTAAAGTCACAGGAATTAAAATGAAACTTTATCAAGGCTTGCATTAAATTATATTACATCTTATCATATAAAATGAATATAATTGAATTCTGATGGGTTAGGGGTATTCGAAAAAATTATTTCAAAACATATTAAAATAAATTTTTTTATATTTTTTAATAATTATTTTTAGTATTAGTATATCAAAATAATAATAAAAAATAAAAAAATTTAATTGAAAATAAAAAAAATCAAATTTTCACCAAACATAAAGCTCCGAGAATTTCGGCATCTGCGAAGGTTAAATGTTAAACATTGCCTTAATCATTTGGTCCTTTTTCCTGATTGAAAACTTCCGAGAGATGAGTTGTTAGTTAGTTAGTTAGTGAAGTTATAATAGGATGGGTCCTCCATGGATTTTCAGGCTTCTGTATATTTCCAATGATTTGAGGATTTAAATAGAAGAGGACAACTGGATTGCATGGAAAGTGAGAATAGCAATGAAGGCTATTCTTTAAATAATCATAACTTTGAAGGTAAGTGCCTCATTAGGTTTATTTTTTAAAAATTACTGCTTTAAATATTATACATTTTAGAATTATTAAAAATTTATATAATTAATAAAAATATATATACAAATTAGTATGGATATCCATGTTAATATTAAAAAATAATAATAATCAGAACAAAAGGTTAGTCGAAGCGCCCAACGACGCCGTTCAGCGCGACTGGGAATATTATTTTATAATATCCGGAGGGTCGTGTGAGGAATCCAAAAGCAAGAAGGAAACCGGCAGTCACCGTATAGGCCTTCTTTCAGGACGGTTCTTCTACCTTCCCTCGAACGCTCCCCTCCCTGCTCTGCTCTGCTCTGCTCCTGCTGCGAATCAAACTATCTTTCTTTCAAAACCCTAAAAACAATCCCTGTCACTCTCTCCATGGCACCTAAACGCCCTCCTCCTGTTGAAGACCCGCCCTCTCCTATCTCTGAAGAAGAAGAGGAGGAAGACTCTTCCAGCACTGAGGAAGAAGAAGAACAACAACAACAATCTGATGGTGAACAAAGACAACCCTCTCCTCCACAACCACGAAACAATACCCAAAACCCACCTCACAAGATAACCGAAACCACCACTCAACAATCTGAATCTGATTCGGAGTCGGAATCCGAATCCGAGTCCGAACCCGACCAGATAGTCAAGCCTATAACGTCTAAGCCCATGGAGGAGACCCCACCAAAGGCGGCATCAGCAGCATCCAAGAAACCCAGATCGAAACCTGCCACAGCTGCTACCCCGGAGAAAACAACTGCTTTGAAGAGAGTTAACGAGACTGATCGCGAAGACTCTAAACGGGCTAAGCACAAGGAACCCGAGCCTGAGAAGCCCGAGGATTCCAAAAAACAGCTCTTTCAAAGGTTGTGGACCGAGGATGATGAGATTGCACTGTTGCGAGGTATAATTGATTTTACTGCAAAGAAGGGTTGTGACCCATCAAAGGATATGAATGCTTTTTATGATTTTATCAAGAAGTCTTTGCATTTTGATGTGTCTATGACTCAATTGAAGGATAAGATTTCTAGGTTAAAGAAGAAATTTGAGAATCATGTGAAAGGTAAAAAAGGTGAAAATAAGACTTTCAGTAAACCACATGATCAAAAGGGGTTTGATTTGTCTAAAAGTATTTGGGGCAGCGATGGGAGTATTAAAGCTAATGGGAGGAAAAATGATAGTGGTAATACTAGTAATAATAATAAGACAGGGAATGCGAAGAAACTAGAAGCATCTAAGTCTGAGTTGGGTATGGATGTGGGAGAAGAGGACAGAGTGGAAGTCGACATGGGGAGAGGTTCAAGTGTCAAAAGAGTTTTGAAGTTTGACAGCAGTGTGAGTGTTGAAAGAATGGAGGATTATGTTGTGAGGATGGGACTGAATTTCGTGCATGGAACCGAGAAGGAGAAAATGGAAGAGGAGTGGAGGAAGTTGCATGTGGCTGAGTTGGAGCTGTTTTTGAAGCGGAACGAACTAATACGAGAACAGGCGAAGTTAATGCTGGCAGCTTTTAAAGCTGAAAAGGATTAGGGAGGCCGAGAAGGAACATGTTGGGGGGTGGGGTGGGGGTTATTGTCTACGTAAATGGTCTTGTTAGTAGTTACTTTTTGTTTAGTTTTCGTAATTAGCTTTAAATCTGCAATGTGTAGTTTCTTAGATAGTGTTATCGTTGTGCTTTTGTTGTGCTGAATTTTGTTTTCAAGGTTTAACCCTCATTTAGTGGATATAATATTTTATATTTCTCATTTCAGCACATACTTTATTGTTTTTTCTTATTTCTTAGTTATTTGTGTTTGATTAGTGGAATGTTTCCAATTTTTGGAATCATAGCATGATTAACATCAACAATTTGATGTTCATCCTTCATGATTTGGTGTGTTGTTCTGCACCAGTTTTTATTGGGAAATAATTTGTGTTGTCACTGTTTAGTTTGGTGGTTATGTGAAAATCATCTCACATTTTGAAAGGTTTACCCAAATTATAACTCATGAACGTACCTTGTATTTGCATCAAGAAATTGCACATAATTTTAACATTTAAATTTATAAATTCAAGGAAACATTCTGATGTGGTCAATCCATCCTTGTTCCAATCGCCGTCTACTAGGTATGATTGGAAGTAGATAGTTGACTTTGTTGTTTGATGCATATTTGGTGCAGTATGGTTGTCAATGGTTAAAAAAAGAAAAACTAAATTACAAGTTGGTTTTTTACCCCTCCTGAAACTGAAGCAATGTATGGGCAATTGAAAAACAGCTCATTTGGCTGCAGATTGAATACTTGAGGAAATTAATCATGCATCTCATCCGCAAACCCTTTAAATCATTCTTCAAAAAAGGGAAAAAAAAAAAACCTTGTAGATGTTAAAAATAATGTTGGGATTAAATGTTCTCTTGAATGCTAAAGCAACCAGTACAAAGGGAATCTTCTTAGTTCAAACCTAGTTTAACTTTTTTTCCATGTAAATAATAACCAAACACTACCTAATAAAACTGGATAACAACAATGTGTATATGTGATTACCCCCACTGAAAAAAATTTGCACGTTTTCAATACTTCAAATTTCAGGTTGCAGTCAAATTTTTTGGGCTAAAACCCGTTGGCACTCTCTTGACTCTAATCCAGGGTAGCTTGGTAGGATATAACCTTGGAAGCTTTTGTTTTTAGTTAATGACGTGGCTGCCTTGGTCTGATTCTGGGTTGTGTAACCGGAAGACTTCCTAATTTCTTCAACGTCTATTATTTGCTTATGGAGTTGCTTTCAGATTCGAAAACTTCATGAATATGTTAGTTCAGATATCAATATTGATAACACACTGATAGGAATGTTATCACCCTCGAGTACTCTGGAACTTGAAAACAAGCTTGGTAGATGATGGAAACTATCGGCTCCAGGGCAATCGGTGCGTAACATCTGAGTATTTTTGGCATATCAAAACTTATGCAGGATAATGTCCACTCCACACAGGATATGTTATCTATGATATATAATTCGTGGGTTTGCTTCACTGTAGTTCTGCTATTGTATTAATATGTTGTCTTGTTGAATTCTATCTTCACTTGTTTGCTTGCTGGAAAGTTTTTTGAGTTATATGAAAATAATGCTGCCGTAGCAAGGCGTGGGAAGCAGCTCCATGCAGAATCAATGGCATGCTTTATCAGGAAACCACTATGCCTAAAAGTAATCCGCAAAGCAGCAAATGCACTTGTTAAGAGTTTATTGAAGAGTCAAAATAGTCAGAATTTGTGTTGGCAAAACAAAGCATGCAGAAATTCCACTTCTTCTTTATTTGTCAATCCCTTCAATGCATGCCCTTTTGCAAGCGAAAACAAAGAACTTCATGCAATATGCAGTTCCATTGAACCAGGAAAGGGGACGGGCTCAGAAATCTTTGGTTTTTCAGCTAGATGATGTTACAGTTGGCACAATTTCTACTTACGATAGAACAAGCAGAGAAACCACTATAGTTGATTTTCTGAAGTACCACGTCAAAAAAAAAAAAAAAAGCCAGTTGATTTTCTTCTCCAAAGTGATAAATAAACGTTGTCTTGTTGAGAATGGGATGGTGTCGATTCTGAAAGGAACTAGGTTTGATTGGTGTATGAAATGAAATGAATTTTCTTCCTTGAATCATACTTATTAAGATCTTCTGTTTATGGTTTCTTGTGAGCTGTTGATATTCTAAAAGCAAGACAATGAAAAGGCCCGCTTATGCCTCCAGCATTAGTAGCTGTATATGGTCTCGATATGGTAAAAGCAATGAATCTTCATCGCCGTTCTTGCAGAGCACCAATTAATGATGGATCAGAATCCTGGATAACCCAACTAAAAAATGGATAAACCTTTCAGAGCACGAGAGAGAGACCTAATCTGATTTCTGGAGTCTTGTCAAGGGCTTTGGGTTCAAATTCACCAGAAATTGTAAAGTATGACTTGGGTTTGATTTTATGATGGAGGACAGTAAACAGCTTCCCACGACTATCAAACCTCGCCTTAATCGTAGTTAGGTCATCCATAATCCATGACCCTCCAACTGCAAAAGCGTTCTCCTTACTTGATAACGTCCAGCCGATCACTGCTGCTGCTGCGACTTTCCTCTCATGATCAAAATAATGGATATAAGAAGCCCTTAGAGAATCACCCTTGTTCTCCCTGAAAAGTCCCAAAGCAGAATGAGTTGTTTTCAAGTCTCTTCCTTCACTACTGACTGTTGAGGAAACAAAGCATAATACTAAAGCCAGCATGCAGTCACAAAATTAGCAGGTGTTTATCTACAATATGTAGTGAGTTTATCTAGGAATGCCCATTCATGTTTTTCATAAGTGCAGGTAAATTAACTTACAATATAATTGACCCATCACAATTCAGGCTTGTCATGCTAATGCCTGCATCGAACATGAGAAGTTGTCTAGAGCTAGTATTGTATATTGTTTCCATGCCAAATGCAAGGTGTGCAGTACCAACTGTTGCAGAAAGCTGAATTAGAGGGGAGCGAACCAAAGGGAGTGTCATGGCTAAAGCAGCTTGTTCGTGGAAGTATTGAACCTCATGCAGAATATGAAACTGCACACGCAATGAACCAGAAGAGGAGACGACTAAATTTCTCACTGAAAATGCGTTTGAACAATATGAGATTAGCAAAGAGGGCTTGATTCAATTGATCAGACATAAGGAGAAAGTATAAAATGCAGATTGTTTGTTGGGATCTGAGGTTTATCTTATTTCTACCATAATTGAAGGAATTGCAGACTGTAAGCTGCACATCATGTTAGGAATAGCTTCATTTGAATTGCAAGATTTTGAGATTAGATCATGGTTTAACAAGTGACCAGAGATGTTTCAATGCTCTTATCATCTTCTATGGTTCTCATAAAAATGCGAACTCGTGATTAGTCATTTATCTGCAGGTTTTCATTTATCTTGATTGAATCTGAGTAACCTTGACATGAGAACCAAATTCCAGGTAAAGCCCAAAAACTGTCCTTACCTCTCTAGAGTTGTATTCTGGAAATTTCACCAAAACCGTGTTCATCATGAATGGCCATGTTCTGCTCATTGTGAGAGTTGTTGAAATCTGTCATTATGCAAAAGACATCAGATAGGTAATGCATAATATAAAGCATAAAAGAACAGCTAGCTGAGTACCAATCCACAAACTCACCAGCAATTCCGGATTAACATCCACCTTAATAGCAGCATGAGTATCCTTAAGATTGTATTCTGCTATAACACCTGCTTTCGATAGTTTCTTGTGTCTGGCAGCATACGGAGTAAGAGTCTGAAGAAATGCGAACATATTCAATTTTTCATCAACAACATTACAAGGATTGAAATCATAGCGTGCCATCTAGAATAACAAGTGATTTCTTTCTTTCTTGCAGACAATTTGAAAAAAATGTAAAGGGAGGGTTTGATAATAAAAAACTATATATATATATATATAAAGACAGAGCAAAGAAATTGAATATTGTTACTATGGTGGCAACTAAGCTTAAGAAAATCCACAACATACCAATCCAATATCACTACTGGTCGAGATGTTAAAATACTGATTAATTCTGTAGCGTAGGAGGTCTGCAAAAAAATAATACAAATCATTAAGAAGTTGGCAGAAAAAGTACCCATAAAGTCTCTACCTCAGAATTCATAGAACGAAGAATAAAAAAATGGTTAGACGTAACAGAACCCTGCAAGACAAAGGGATGATATGTTCAAGAAGAGAAACAGATAAAGAAACTTTTTTGTTCGTTGCTTCTTGATTCAACATGAAGCTCCATTGGAGATTTTCAAGAAAGGAATAACACACAGAAAATCTTTCTTTAAAGTTGGCACTGAATATCTTTAATCAGAATGCAAACGAGTTTGACTTGAGAGAAAAGAAGATACAGATCAAGAAAGCTTGCAAACAAGATGATGCATGAGATTAAAAAGTACCATATGCAAGCTTTCCAAAGTCAGAGAAGAGTCTGGGACCTCCGGTTTCTTTGCTTCTTGCGCTTTCTTGATGATCAGAGCTGTTCATTTTATGTTTCGGTTTAGAGTGAAGGTAAGAGAATGAAGAAGGATTCTCTATGAACTTCTCGCTAAACAAGAAGTTCCTCGAGAAACAAATGTAACTAAAGTTTTGGTCAAAAAAGAAAAAAGAATGCTGCATTAGTTTAAATATTTATTACTTTATACCCAAAAAAATTATTTTTTAAAAATAAAACTTCCTAAAATGTTCAAGAAATAAATAAAAAAAATATTAAAATCTTTAACAACAGTCAGCCATTAAATGTGAAGGTGTCTTGCATTGAGAAAGCGACCGCTTCGTCAGTTCCTTTCACCCTCCTCTTTTTGTGCATCAGGTAGATTCAGGAATCATTTTATTGTTTCTTTTTCTGGAAATAATATGATATCACATTGCAATGTGACTACTTCATGTTTACAGCAATTACTTATCACCCAAGTTTCTGTAGGATATTAGAATTTTTATCACTGTTGAATTAGAAAGCTTCAACCGTCAGGCTCCTTGCTTGTATTGTGAAGAAGTAGCTTGTGTGTCTGTGTGTGTTAAAAATACGATTACTTGACAAGGCAAACTGACTGCTCAAGTGAATCAAGGTTGAGGTAAATGGTCATAGGGACTTTTCAGCTCTTGGATTTCTAGACAAAAGACAATGGAAAGGCCAGTTTTAGCCTCCATTACCGGTAACTATATATCTTCTGCGCATGATAAAAGCAGTGTATCTTTGTTTGACTTTGTGTCAAAGCACCAGCAGAAGGTAACGAAGGACCAGAATTCCATCATCTGGACACACAGCTGAGAAATTGATAAACCTTTCAGAGCACGAGAGAGAGAGAGAGATCAAATTTTATGACAGGAATCCTGTCAAGGGCTTTAGGGTCAAAATCACTAGAAATTGTATCGTATCTCCTGGGTTTGATTTAATGCTGCAGGTGAGTAGCCAGCTTCCCACGTCTATCAAACCTTGCCTTAATCATCATTAGATCATCCATGATTCATGATCCTCCAACTTACTAATGATAGATAATAGTAAAGTAAGAGAAACATCAACCTTAACAGAAGCATGAATGTCCTCGTGATTTTATTCTGCTGCAACACCTGCTATTAAGCCTAGCGCTTTCTTGCCAGCAGCATCTGAAGCATCAGTCTGGAAAATGAAATGTAGAACGAAAAAGAAAACTTATTTGTAATATTTCGCTTTTTTATTTTTGGATCAATTATTTCAGTACTATTTCAATTACTAGAACCAAAGTGATATTCCACAATACAAATATCTTTGTAAATTTTATCAAGATCAATGCAGAGAGTCAAGATGGAAGAAAAAAAAAAGAAAACTGTATTCTTTCAATAATGAAAACTTATTTACTTTCATATGAGTTATGTCATTTTATATATGACAATTATTTTCTTTAGTAACTTATCTAATAACTTGGACCAGGCTCATCCTCTATGGTCGGACTAGGCCTAACCCAATAACCAACATATCTCACTCGCCCATGAAGGATTGAATCTCTCTAATATATTATACTTCAAACTTGTACAAGAATTTCATACTTGACGATCGGACTGTGCGACCTGAAACACACAGTGAAAGGAGCTCCAATATATAAACCTAATACAGGCTATATAGGAGACATCAACCTCATAATTAATTATTCCTTAAAGTATACTAATATACCCCAAGCATTTTTAGTTACACATGACTGAATATAATTCAATCCTTTAAGAATTTCATACTCAATCCATCCTTACAATTACAAGTATTCTAAATTATATCAAATCTATTCAAGTGATATGATCCTGACCGGTAAAGACAAGTAAAAGGTGTAGAACTAAAATTATTTTTTCTTTTGCTCTCATATTAATCAAATCTGAATTAACTTACTTTCCTAAGAGTATTCTTTTAAGTCGAATCATTCCATGACTCTAGGATATACTCCTGAAGTAGTGATCATTAATACATCACCTCATAATATAATCAAAAGTCACAAAGGGTAAGATTTTGAGATCTTAGATATGATCTTCAAGACTCACATAATAAAAAAGCAGGGATCCATTCTTTATTCCTGTAATGGTCGCTAGCACATGTAGTATGTAATACATGTTATAGTGGAGCTTACTCTTTTCTTTTCTTAAGACAAAGAGTGTATGTCGTTGCTCTTTTTGTTAGAGGAAATACACTATACGAGTCTTAGTCTTATTGCTAAAAATATAGACTTCAAATAAGAAATTCTCATTTGCTCATTTTTCATTAGTAGTAGATAAATAATTTTATACTCGGCTTCAATTATAATAGACATATAAATGGCGGGAATTCATTCATGCCAATTCTTTTATTTAAGAACCTCATCTTGGTCCTAGCCAAGGTGACTTTTTAATAATCATTTTGAATTAAAATTGCTCCCACTGCGCCCTAATCGCTTATTGAACATTAAAACTCAAATAGTATCATCTCTACTCACCTTACAAATGCTAGAGGTGATTACTCATGTGAGTGAGCCAATCAAAGTCTATCGACATACTATAAAAAATGATACTATACGATACTCATAATATATTCATGAAACAAATAATGAATAAAATGATATTCTAATGGCATTTATCCATTACTTAATCATTATAAGCTTTTGTATGATCCTTAAAACTAATCATATTACTAATTACATTCTACATAAGCCAAGAGATCTCACATGTCTAACAAATGCATCCCTTATTATTGGTTTTGTGAGTGGATCTGCAACCATAGAATTTATAGAAATGTGTTTTAGGATCACATCTTGCTCAGTAATTGCTTCTCTAATGTAGTGATATCTCATCTTGATGTGTTTGGTCTTTCCATGGTATTTTGGATCTTTAGCCACAGTTATTGCAGTAGTGTTATCATAGTAAATTGTCACTTGGTTTGATGCTAATTTAACAATTTTCAAATGATATAAGAAATTTTTTAACCAAACAACATCTTGTGTTGCTGCAGAACAAGCTACATACTCAGCCTTCATAGTAAATAAAGCTATGCAGGATTGTTTCTTTCTTCTTCATAGTATTGCACTATCATTAAGCAAGAAAGCACATCCTGAAGTTGATTTGGATTGGTCGACATCTCCTCCCTAATCAGCATTAGAGAAACCAATCAATCACAAATCTTTCTTTCCTTAGTAACATAGCATGTAATTTGAAGTTCCTTTCAGATATCGTAGAATTCTTCTGACTGTCATCTAGTGTTTCTGACTAGGGTTTGATTGATATCAACTAAACAATCTAACAATATCGCATATATCGAGACGTGTGCACATCATTGCATACATCAAACTACTTACAGCACTTGCATAAGGTACTCTGGATATTTTCTCCTTTTCTTCTAGAGTCTTGGGATATATATCACAGTTTAGGCTCAAAATTTTATCAACAGGGGTGTCTATTGGTTTGCTAACTTGTATTTGATAGCGCTCTAATATCTTTTTTTATGTAAGTCTCTTGAGTTAAACCAAAAAGCCTTTTAGAGCGATCTCTTATAATTTTCACACCAAGAACATAGTTGGCCTCACCCATGTCTTTCATTTTAAAGTTTGATGATAACAACTTTTTAGTAGTATCAATCATCTCTTTGCTATTTCTAGCTATTAAGATGTCGTCAACATATAAGGATAATATTATAAAACTATTGTTAGAACATTTTAAATACACGCAATAATCTTCTTCCATCATTGTAAAACCATCCTTAAGGATTGCTTGATGAAACTTAACGTTCCGTTGTCTAGAGGCTTCCTTAAGACCATATATAAATCTTTTAAGCTTGCAAACTTTGCACTCTTGTCCTTTAGTTTTAAATCCTAAAGGCTAATCCATATAGATCTCCTCATTTAGTTCTCCAGTGAGAAACACAGTTCTAACGTCCATTTGATATAACTCTAGGTCCATATGTGTAACTATAGCTAAAATGAGACGAACTAAAGTAATCTTTACGACTGGTAAGAATGTATTTTCATAATCAATTCCATCTTCTTGAGTGTAGCCTTTCGTTATTAGTCGAGCCTTATAATGTTTTATTG